AAGAGTGCTGTACGAATCAAACAAAAGCTGACCCCATTCTTTAACCTTCTGGTAATCTCTGCTTCTGTTGTTTGCCCTAACCTCTTCGCAGACTGCTCTGTTTTGTTCGGCCGAAGTTAATGTGTATTACGTGCTCGTCGTCCCGTGAAAACTTAATTGCAGTTGAACCGTACGGTCGTCTCTCTTCATCAAAACAAGCACTCTTCCCCCATCATTGCCAGTGGTCAGAAGGGATCAAAGCGTGCAGCAAAAAGAAAAACATGGGAAAACCCTGCAGGCTTTTTAATGTTTAGAGCATTTCCTCAACTAAGAAGAAACTTCTTCAAGCAGCTCATAATTTCTGAATACTTGGAATCCTAATAAGTGGTAGTAAGGGCATTTCATACATCTTACCTCTGCTTATTAATTTAAACTTCTAATTAAAATGCAAAGCGTTCTCATGGTTCTCTGGGTTTGGTGCTGCATTCTCAGCCTATGCCTCTCAATATTCTCTCTTTTATTCTCTCCCTCTTCTCTTCTATCACACCTGACTCCCTGCTCTCATGGTCTTTCTATCTGCCTTTGCTTCTTGTGATCAAGACAATTTGACCTCTCACTTGGAAGAAGTGCACAGAATTTAATGGATTTTTTACAGTCTAATCTAACCAGTTCTCTCTTTATTGCCGTTTTGTACCCAGTGGACCTCATCTTTACCAGACCTCCCCCCACTCCGCTGCCTCTTCTACCCTCACACCAAGAAAATTAGTTCATCAGAATTCAAAATGTACCGCTGGCTAATTAAAGGAGTGTTAATTGAGTGTTCAGAATTGGGTACCCCCTTAACTAAATGCACACAGATCCACGCACACATAAGCGCACACGCAATCACAGTGACAACACCGGGTACGCCAAGGACGTCACGCTTGGGGAGTTTCGTGCCAATCAAAAATGGAACGAAAATAAAGTGCCCATCCTCCCAAGAAAAATGGGATTTTTAGATCATATCAAGGCCTGCTGCAGTTCAGGCCAGCTCTGTGCTGCCACGTTATCCAATCACTGCTTTGCTATCTGTGTCTGACCGCTGGAGAGTGTAACACTGCACAGATAGCCTCCCTCGCCGTGTGCATTGTGCTAATGAGGGGTGGCATTTAGAGATGTGCTGCTCTGACACATGGGCATTGTGTGCCAGGCACTGGGTGATTAAGGACGAAGGTCAACCCATTAATTGCCTCCCTGCCATCTTCGCTCCCCGGCGCGTGATCTCTAAGAACTAATGCATGTGTTTGTCTGAGCTTTTAGCTAATCTCCAGCGCAGTTCAATCGTATGCTTGATTTGTTTACATTTCTTTCATGTGAAAGTTTTCCCTCCACCCCCCCCCCCCCTTACTTTATGCAAGAGGCAGCATTTGCCCAGGTTTCTCTGTTAATTCAATGTAAGCTGTTTCATGTGCTTGTGAGTGCACATACCCTCCTGCTCTAAGGAAGGGAAAAGCATATTCTCCCATCCCCAGGGGAAATAATTAATCCTTACAAGGCTGTCGCATGTTGAAATGAAGCGAGTGTGAAGCATTTAGCCCAGGAGGCATTGCAGGCTGTCGCCCGCACAGGCACCTGTTGTTGTCCCTGCCCTACATTTCATGAGAGAGCGCTAAGCAGAGGATAACAACATGCTCCACTGATGGCAAATGAGACACACAAAAGCAGATGCAAATGTGTGTGTGTTAGTACATTTATGCACATTTTCTTTCCTATTTTCATTTTTTTTTTATCTTTGCATGCATGACCACGCCAGAGTGTGTGCTCAGGTGCAGGAAACCCCCTGCCTTATAAAAGCTGTGGGTTCACACAAACTCTGGCTGCCTCTGAGGATGTTTATCAGCCAGCACCATCTGTATGCTGCCGCTCACTGCTATGATCTACTGCAGCCTAAACCAATAAGTCACACTGTGCCAGTCTAAAAAGAGTCTCTCTCCTTTAACCTCCCTGTCTTGCCTTATAGACTTAGAGCTCTGGAGGAGAGAGATGTGCAGGCCCTGCACATTAAACACAGTGTCTGTAACAGCTTCTGTAAGAGAGTGAAAAATGCTTTGGTTTGTGGCTATACTTACGGTAATCAACTTTGCTATAAAATTTATACCATGAAACTTTTTAAAGAGGAAGTCGGAATCAGAAGCATCCAGATGCTCATTTGCCTCCACCTCCTCCTCTTCTTCCTTTATGCCTGTGGGTTCTAATAACCGGAAGCCTTTGTGGAGTTGAGATGGGTTTTGTAGGCCTGAAAGGCCTCTAATCCCTGTGGCCTGTGAAGTGTGAAGCCCTTTGATGCCAGGTTGGTGTGCCAAAGGCTCTGCCTATTGACAAACAAGGGCCAAGCTGGGAAAAGACGAAGGGAGAGGGCTGTCTTCGCTTTCTCAGAAGAAGCACAGACTCAGACGTGGAAAATATAGGGTTCAGTCAGTGAGAAGGAATAGAATTAGCTACCCTTTAATGAATTTCTTGGCTTTTTATAGTTTTTTTTCCCCTCGTGTGGCAGTAATTAGGTGGAATGATGGGCATATTGCATCTGGGAGCTTGTAGGGGTGGCAGGGCAGAGGCCCTTGATATGCCTGAAAGCCAAGAATCTTTCCTCATTTAGACCATGTGATGATCAAAGATGTTTTTTCTTCTTCTTTGCCCTCATGTAAAGAAGATCAGAAAAAAAGTGCTGCCATTCCATTTGCATGTGGACCTGCAATGTGCTTTGAAATGAGCATGTTTTTCTCTTCTGAGCAAATGAAATAAGTCTTCTGTCAGTTTTCCTCTGCTAGTCAGAACATCAAAGCAAATGACAGTGCCGTCACGAGGGAAGCAGGGCTTCGCCTCACTGAGGTTAGTTAGGTTTCAAATAGGTTGGCCTGCCACGCTCATACCAACCCATTAGGGCATCACCCTGAGTCTGACTGAAGCAAAGCATCTGATGTCTGCAAGTTTGTACAGATTAAAAGAAAAAATTGAAGTGGTTTCTGATTTTAAAAGTTTGTTATCCATTTGTGGAACCAATCTGACCAGTTTGAAGCTAAAATGTAGCTTTGGATATTCAGAGTTTCGCCTCTCTGCAGTTAAAGTCCTAAATTATTTCTTTTATGATATGGATCTTGTAGATTTAATCATTTTCACAGTTGGGAACCCAAAGGGTTGTTGAAATGAACTCCCCGTGATATCTGTAATGGGAGCGAAGAAATGAGAATTGTGACTACTTGGCTGTGGAGTTTCTTCAAAATGATTTTGCAATTGGGAAGGAAATGGACTGCGTCCCAGTCACAGCCTGCGTCCTGCAGACACCTGAGGTAGTCGGGACATTTGCTGGCAGCAGTTAATTTTTTTTTTTTTTTTTTTAGAATTTGGTTTGCTTTTGCATCAACACGTTTTTGATTTTTAGGTTTCAAGTCATTTGATATATTGTTTGTAAATTGACTTCTTTTCCCAGCCCCCCACGCTTTTGTTACATTGAGCTAAGTAGCCATGAAATTGCCTGAATAATGTCATTTAAATCCAATCTCACCACGGCCCCTCACCTCCATACCCAGTGCCCAAACAATGACACATGGTGGGCTTTTTGGAAGTTGCATTTTTCCTGTTTGCCACCTCATTTTAAAACGGCCATGTGTTGGTTCATTGACTGAGGGCGGTTGTTGGTGGTGGTAGAAATTTTGGAACTGGTGCAGACTCTTACGCCAGAGCATTCATAAATGTTTAAAGAAAAGCCCATGGTGTTAGCATATATTCACCTTTAGTCTATTCTATTTTATTACATTTTACACTTTGAAGTTAGACATATATACATAATAAATGTACATAAAAGTTAATTATATGCCGTTATATTTGATTTTATTTTTATAATAAAAAGCAATGCACTCATGCTTGACTTTTTTTTATTGTAACCGTAACATTTGTTTACTTTTAAATGCTCTTCCGATACATTAGTTTCAAATTGTTTTCTATTTCAGACTTGAGTTTGGAAAAGGCAACCCTTGAGAAATCTTTACTGGGTTAACTTTTCAAAATTTCACCATAACCAAATTAGTAACTCCCCATTAACATTTAATAATTTTGCTTTTTCTTTTTTTGTGAGAGCTTTTCTCCTTAGTAGACTTGGACTAAATTAATGTGAATGTTTTGTGGCCAAGGGTAAGACCCAGTAAGTGATACCACTTATAAATCTCAAATGTGCCACTGCAATTAAACAAGCTTTTATTCCCTCCCCTTCTTCCCTGCGCGCCTGCTACCAAGGCTAACCCAATTCAGTGCAGAAGAGAGTCCAAATTAATTTCACAATGCACTGATTTAACAGTGCCTGAGGTACCAGGCTTTGACAGAATGAGTTTTAAAAAAGATTCATTTGTCTAGAGATGTACATCCACAGGAGGGTGTGAAAATGAGATGGAAAGAAAGCTCAAATGGAGGAGGGAGTGTGACGGAACATAAACGAATGCCAGTCCTCATTTACAGCCTTTTCAAATCACGCTTGGGTTTTTCTGTAGTGAAGCTGCTGGTTTTAATCAACCTCAGGCCTCTTTAAAAATAATTCTTTAAATATATTTCAGGGAAGTCTTAAAACCATTTCAGAGGCTTTTCTTACAATCCATGAAACATGCTGAGGTTTAAAAACCTCACAGTCCACTTGTCACTTATCATCTGGTTCAGAAATTTCCAATTAGCTTAAACCGATGGTTCTATTGACTTTTTATATGACAGCAACACAAATGGTGGGTAAGTAAAGAAACAACATGAAGCAACAGACAAAAGTAAACTTCGTGTTGGTAGAACGCACTGAATCAAGGCAGTTTGTATCAAAGTACTGAATGTCTTAAAACATGATTGAAATGGATTGAAAGCAGCTAATTGATGTTTATGTCTTGTTACAGGCTTCATTTGTACCAGTGCTAATTAAAACTAAGATTATCAGTTTTATATTCAACTATTTGTGGTTTATTGTCTTATTAAAGTAAGTTTACATGTTTTCCTTTCTGTTTGTCTTTCAGGTGACCTGGTGGTGCCCACACATTCCCCACGCTACCCAACAGCGGCAGAACTTGATGCTTACGCTCAGAAGACAGCCAACAGCCCACTTTTCATCAAGATCTTTCCCACCAACATCAGGGTCCCCCAGCACAAGCACCTTAACCGGACTGTGAATGGATATGACACCACAGGGCAGCGCTACGGACCCTACCCGCATCTTCATACAGGGGGCTACCAGGGTCTCCTCGCCATCGTAAAGGCCGCATCCTCATCATCCTCATCCTCAACATCCACCTTTGTCCCTTCTAAAGGTGTTCTCAAGAACGCAGAAGGCAGGCGGACTAAGCTCTCTCCAGCCCATATAGCTGTCGCCCCATACCCACCCCCTAGTAATAGCACTTTAGCCAGTGGTCATGGCCAAATGGTTTACCACACTGGGCCCTCAAAGCTTTTAGAAGCACCAGGACTGTCCGTTCCCCCAAATGTCACTGTAGCCGGCTCTGTGATTCCTGTAACAGGTGGTCGAGGCCTGGCTCTGCCCGCACAGTCCAACCTACCCTCCATCCAGAGCATCATCTATCAGATCAACCAGCACTGCCAGGCCCAGGCACTGCAGCAGGTGTGTCACGGGGCTTCCACTGCGCCAACCAATCCCAGCCCCTCCAAGCAGAGCACAGCTGTCATGGGGGTTACGTCTAGCGCCTCAACTGGAGGTTATGTAGTAGGAATGGGTCCCCAAGCCAACATGGCATACACAGGATCAGGGCTGCCAGCTCCAAGTGCAGAGGCAGTGAAGAGTGGTGTATATGCAGACAGTATGGACTACATCATTTGGCAGAAGCAGCAACAGCAACAACAGCAGCAGCAACAACAACAGGCGGTCCTCCGCATGTACAGCGGAGGCAGTGGAGGTGGAGGCGCCATCAGCAAGTCTCCTGAAACCTGTATACCAGGTGGAGGGCTTATGGCAACCCAGGTGTCCTCCTCTTCCTCCAGACCTTATCATCTGACTGCGAGTGCCAGCGGGGGAGCTGGGCTAGAAAAAGTCAGCTCCTCCCCTTTGAACTGTGTGGGTATGCATGGGAATTTTTCAGTGGGTCAGTACTTTGCACCCCCATGGAACAGTGTGCTGGTGACCCCTGACAGTGACTGCTACAACCCCCAGGAGCTTTTGGGCACCTCCACAGGAGGGCCATCGACTGGGCACAGAGAACTGGGATACCCTCACCACCATCACCACTACCACCATCATCACCACCACCACCCTACCATAGACAGCAGTGGCGGTCTATGCTGCAGTCTGCCTAGCAAGAGCTTGTGCAACACATCAGTGCTGAGCAGCAGCCTGCAGTCCCTGGAGTACCTGATCAACGACATCCACCCTCCCTGCATCAAGGAGCAGATGCTCGGCAAAGGCTACGAGACTGTGTCTGTGCCGCGTCTGTTAGACCACCAGCATGCACACATCCGCCTCCCTGTTTACAGATAGATGGGGAGCACGAGGACGCAGAGAATCAAGAGTTGTGAATTTGTGAAGAAAATCAAAGTTAAAGAACAGAGTTGTGTTTGTCGCGGTACAGAACTGGTGCGAGTGCCACTGCTTTAACTAGTGTGGGAGCTCAGAGAAGAGCGGTTGCTGTGCTGTTTGACCTTAGATTTGTCGGCTTCAAAGCAAGCTGTGGGAATCCTCAGACACAGAGGACAGTGGCACCGGCTGAGACGAAAAGGGATTTCAAGCTCCTCCTGACGTTCCATGGTGTGGTTTGCCAATTGGATTTTTTCTTTTACTGATTTTCTTTGATTTTGTTTTTCTTTCCTAAACTGGTTTTTACGAGAATCTTAGCTCGACATGAAGTGCATATGCCACTTGTATCTCTTTTCCAAATACTAAGGATGAAGCTACTGTGTAGGTTGTCACTGAAATGGTCTTAAAGGGCCAACATTGAGGGCTGCTCTTGAAATCCAAAAACTCTGTAACAGAACGCACGTGCAAAAATGTGCAGGCAAACAAGAAGAGTACGATTATAAGCAGTTCTTGGTGTTATGTACAAGGATCATGAGGTTAAATCTAAAAGGGTAGTACAATATTAGTTATTGTTGCTGTTATAATTGATACATTAATTGCACTGCTTGAATTTTGTTAACTTTGAAGTTTGGAATTGGGTAGTTTGCATATGATATATTTAAGAAACTTGAAAAACTTGAACCTATTTTTTGTTGTTTGATATATTTGTAGGTATATGTATTGGCTGCTACGAAGGAAAGTGTCTCAAATGCTTTTTTTTTCTTCTTCTTCTTTTGTAATTATTATTTTATTGTTTTCCACATTTGTTTTTATGATTAATTAATTCCTCCTCAAGCTGATGTGCAGTTTCTTATGTCTTGAAGTGAGACATATAGTTGCTGCTTCGGTTCTGTAAGAACCTGTTTGGAGAGCTCTTTTTTTTTAAACCAACACTGGAATCTACAATAAATCTTGAAATATTTTTAAAAAATGTGGGAAAAAGAAAAAAGAAAATGAAATGTTACAATGAAGAATGTGATTGGGAGGTTATCTACCTGACCTAATGTGTATGTTAAAGGTGTGTGTGGCAGAGTGCATGTGTAGATTTAAAGTTTGTGTTTTTCAAAATCCCCAGACTTTTTTTTTTAGTTTATGGTGTCATAACCAGATGTTTCCACAAACTGACAGACTGATTCACCAGTCCCAGAAACATTCAGAATAAATGTACAGAAGATAACCTGCGATGCTCCCTTTCAGTGAAGGCTTTATTATTCCCAAGTCAGAATAGAGATTTTAGTTCTTATTTGACTCGTGTAGTTACAGCTCTGCAGCCTCGTCCGTTATCAGAGTCACAGACAGCGGTGAAAACAAATGAGTGTATGAAAAATGGAAAACAATCATGCCCTGTCCTTTGGCGTCAGATGAAACAAGACCAAGCTCATTGCTTTTTCTCCCCCATTTCAACCCTCCCAGGTTGAGATGCATTTAGCCTAGGCCAGTCTTAACTTGATAAATCAGAGAAATGAAATATTTATTATGACTGTGAGATTCCCTTGAATGTACTGCACTTAAATCACCGCAATATATTGTATTGCCTTGTGGGACTCGAGTGAAATAACTGAATCAGTGCAGCAGTCTTCTGGTCTTAAACTGGGATTTTTTTTTTTTTTTTTATCAGTCAAATTAAATTTATTAACTGGAGAGGAAGAGAGCAAGGGGGCTTTGTTGTGGGGGGAATGCAGGCATCGGTCTAGATTTATGAAGTGCAATTATTATGACTGTATTAACATTTTTTTTTCTTCTCTGAGCTTACACCAAAAAAATGTAAACTACAGTTGTCCATACATTCCCAATGTACCACATCTCTAATCCTTTTTTTTTTTTTTTGGTTTTGTTTTGTTTTGTTTCAAGGTGTAAAATAAATTTCTTTAAGAATATATACAGTAGCCACATCTTGGCTCGGAAGTCTGTGATTATTTTTCTGAACATTTGTCCTCTGGAGGTCAGTGAGGTGATTCTGTACTGATTAGGATCTTGTAAAGTTAACTGATAATCTAAATGTTTACAATTTACCATCCAAAGATTAAAGAAAAAGGTGTGCTTGCAGAAATAAAAGTATTTTATGTGTTGGATTTTATAGAGAGAAAGAAGTAGGTTTATGATTTTTTTTTACTGTTAAATTTCACAAATATCCTCCCTTCATTTATTGTCACAAAGAACTGTAAAGAGATAGTTCATATCTTTGGAAGTAGTGATATTTTGTTGTAGAGAGCTCTTTGAATGACTTTAGTTTGAAGAAGTAGAGTTTAAATCTGAACCAGATGTTAGCTTGTCGTTCTAGTCGGTAGACCGACAAGCTAACATCTGGTTCAAGCAGGAACCGATGATTGCTGCCATCTTGAAACAACTTTAATCTCCAGAGTTAGATATTGAATCATGCAAACATTATTTTATAAACTGTTTGACTTCTTTAAATGTGTATTATATGGTCATTCAAACATACATAAGATACTCCTGCTGGAAGTGTCCAGGATGCTCTGTGAGTGCTACAGCTAGCTGCTTCTGCTATTTGTGCAACTAATCATAGAATTTTAAGTATATAATCGCATAATATGAAACTGACTGGTTATATAAATTAGCATTTGCATGAAATGTTTAGAAATGTTAAAGATTGGAGCTAAGATGGCAGCAATCTGCTCTTAGTGCTGCTCCAAGTAGCAGTTAAATGAAGCAATCCGGTCTGAATTAAACTTCGTTTCTCCAAACTGAGTTAATTCAAAATGTTATCTGCAACAGGTAGTATATTAACCGTTCATAATCTGTCCTCATAACCAAACATCGGAACTATCTCTTTAAATATCCTACTGATGATGATACCATTTTTCAAAGCTGTCGGATATTTCAGACTAAAGAATAGCCACCCCCCCCCCCCCCGGCTCAAATTTGCATCGTAAACCTTCTTAACATTGCAGTGGATTTTTCTTCCTGTGTTGTTTCAACAGCCTAATGCTTTAGCTGCGGTCTGATTCCAGCATATTTTCTGTCTCGTAGAAATATTTTGACAGATCTTACAGATACATCCCGTCCCTAAATCCCTTCCGCTTGGCTTCTGCATCCGAGCATTAAACCCTGTCACATGATGTTGAAGTGAAGAGGAGATACTTGAGGCAGTGCAGCTCTAGTGTCTGGACTTTCCCACCAGTCTGAGGCACCAGGCTTCTTTGATTAATGGAAATAGTGGGTGACGTCTGGCTATACTGGATGCTCAGGTGTATCTATTTAGTCAAATAATTGAAATCAAATCCTTTCAAATAAACATAGATTTCTTACGATATGGAGATGGAGCTGACCAAATCAACCACACAAAAAGACAGCAACAAAACATAATTTAGCAAAATTGTTAATTTAAAATCACTTTAAAACTCAGACAGCATCTTTGATCACTATGTCACAATGCAAGGCTCCAAACTGTCTGCCCCCCCTGGTCTTTTACACACAAAGAGCTCCTGTTGGTGGCATACATCTTAGCCCTGCAACCTTTGGTCCATTCCACTATTCCTCATTTGGACAATGGACGGTTAGCCCCATATTAGGATAATAGAATTAAATTTCAAATAGATTTGTGCCTGAGTTGATCCAGCCACAGCTCACTCAGCTGTAAAGGCAGAGTGGCATATGGCATGTTATTATCTGAGCCCGCCCTCCCCCTGTCCGGGGCCAACAGGGTTCAGCGGTGCTTAAACAAACCAGAGGTTAGAACTGGTTGGCTGGCGTTGCAGAGGAGGAGGACAGCAGGGTTTGGGTGGTGGTGGGTGGGGGGGATGTTGCTAAATCGCAGCCTCCACATCGTCTCAGATGGCCCCAGCACCACACCATGGCGCCCAGGCTCTGAGGCCCTGCTTTAAAAAGCTGAGCTGCATTTGATCGAGGGGGATTTGTTTTCTGTTGGATTATACATGCTTGTTCCCGGCACGGCTGAGGGGCCCCTGTGCAGCGAGACAGGAAAGACTAGAAAAGAATGAAACATGCAAAGATTCTGGGGTCAGAGAAGCCTCGGAGCACCAGTTATTAGGATAATTGGCCGTGTTCCTGGTTCTGTTAGCAGCCTCTCATCTTTGACTTAGCCCTGTCATCTTCAGATTCAACTTTAATGAAATCTCCTGTCGGACTGACAGACCTGTTGTGCCTTGATGTACCAAATTTTAGAAGCGAGAGCCTCTCTTTTCATTTACTTTTTTACTTTTTGAAGGGGGGGAAAAGTGCTTTGCACGAAACGATCAATCACAGCAACATGCTCATCTGAATGAGGACGTTTCGATCTATAACTTATCTCTGTGGCTACAGACTGCTATTGACTTTTAACACGTTTTCAAGGGCAATGAGACACTCGTGAGGAAAGCTGGAGGGCAAAGTGTAGGAGAAATGACTAATGCTGATTGTAAAACCCCCTTAGTAAATCCCAATAAGTCCGTGAAGACCTTTGGCCTGTGTAAAGGTCTTGTCGCATATTATACACCTTAAATACTGCTGAGGAGCACAGAGAGCAGACAGGCTGTTCAGAGCAGGGTCAGCTCTTTCATTCTCAGAACAGAGAGGGGGAGAGAGTGGAAAAATAAAGCCAGCTGCTCACTTTGTAGAGACTTGGCTCCGCTCCTCTGACCTACAGATGATGGGTGTTTTGGAAGAGCACATCCCCTCCCCTTTGTACCACTTTGGTCAACCTCAGTCATGTCCCCTGGCTGCCCTTCTGCTCTTTGGAGGGGTCCTCATCTCAAACCTGTTCCCAGAATTCCCTCTCGACATCTGAGAGAGAACAAATTCATGAGCACGGTCTTCTCCATTTCACTCATACCTAGCGAGAAAATACTTTCATCAATAATTCAGATGGTCCAGAGGAGGCATGTACAGTCAAAGCGCCAGCCTTATAGCGGCGTTGCACAATTTCATTAAAGTTAGTTTGGCGTCACAGTTGGAGAAAATCTCTTTTGGAAAACACCTGATGTGTCAAATGTGAGTGACGCAGCATTTAAAATCAGTTTTTAGTATTCGTTATGGGTACTGCAAGATCAAATCAGCACAGATGACAAAATAAATCAGATTTTTTTCCCCAAAAAACAGCTTTAGAGGCCAAATATAAAAATAATAAATAAAAAAGGCAGTGCGACAGGTTGTAATTCCAGGAGCTTACAGCGTTTTATTTCTTCACCGCCACAGCTTCCGCTGAAAAAGCTTATGGCCTCCAAATATTCATCTGCTTTGTGCGGCGGGTCTATTACTGAATCCAATCTAAAGGCAAAAGTCTGGGGATTTTGCATTCTTACTTTCTTTTTTCGTCCTCCAGATTCCTTTCACTGTTTGTATGGCTCTCCAAATTATCCTGTGGACAAACAGGGCTGTGTTGTTTTTCTCAGATGATCTCGAGTGCACCACTGCTGCCAAAGTATGAGGGTGCCGCAACCTTGAGAAAATAATATATATGGAAATGGGAAATCTATAAAGCATCTCTCTTATTGTTTTCCCTGCAGTACTGTGTTTAAAAATGATTCTGTCTCCTCAGGATGAAAAAAACAACATAAGGAATACATTGCTTTCTTCTTTTTGAAAATGATAATGTATGAGTCTTAGATTTTGAAAAAAGAAGTCTGAATATTAAAAAAAAAAGAAGCTGTAAAATCCTTTACTTGAGGGTTTTCAACTTTTGAATGTGCCTACAGCCAAGCATCCCAGTGATTGCTTACCCTCTGCAGTTCTGCAATCTCCCCACAACCATCATCTTCAATTTGCTGAAACTGCCACTGTCTCTCCTCCATCCCGACCATCACAGGAGACATATTGTCTGTTCCTGCTTTTTGTCAATCTCAGGACTGAAATTTCTTTACTTTAATGTAAATGGCTGTTTTTCATTTAACCTTTCCTCTCTTATGTGTTTCTGTTTGACATAAGGAAATAAAGCAGATGACTTCAATGACTTTCTTTCTTTCGTTCTTTCACATGTTAAAGGAAGCAGTAGGACTAGACCTTGCTGTAATGAAGGTAAGCATATTAGTCTTGGGATTCAGTTTGAGCATCGCCACCATATGCCCGCTTCGACAATCTTGTTTTTCACTTGACCCTTTTCACCTCCACAGCGGGAACAACCTCACCTTAGAGCAACACGCAAGGAAAAACAAAACAAAACAAGGGGGGAGGGGGTTAGCGTCTTTGTAAATTATTTTTTTAATTGTGAAATGGGTTGACATTTTTTCCTAGACTGTGCTTTGGAGAGACAAAGGCAAATTAAAGCAATAGTTCAGATATTTTTTCTTTTTAAGTAGAGTTCTGTAAAAAGCTTTTGAGCAATTAATCTCTTAAACGTTTAAAACGGCTCATTGAACAACCTCGGTTTGCCCAAGCAGGTCCAAAACCAAAGTGGCTATTTTATAAACCTTTACATTGCTGTAAATTTTGCAATCTATGGTTATTTACACTTTGCAAGTGCCAGTAGCAGTAGCAGCTAGCTTTAGCACTCCTATTTCAGAACGTTGGAAATATCACAGTAATTCCACCAGATGTGATGCAAACAGAGAAGGTCTGTGAAATAGAATTTCTAGCAAAAATTTTGATTTTTTTTTTCAGCTGAAGTTGTTTTAATTCAATTCAGTTTATTTATATAGTGCCAAGCCACAACATAAGTCATCCCAGAGCACTGACCAGAAACATTCATATACATAAAAAGTAAGTTAATAACACCATTTATGTGAGGAGCAAACTGCTTTGAGTTTAACTTCATCGCAGACTTTCATCTTGAGCAAGCACGAAGGCAACAGTGGAAAGGAAAAACTCCCTCATGAGGAAGAAACCTTTAGCAGAACCAGGCTCAGGATGGCAATGATCCACTTTGGTTCTGGTCCAACTCGAAGTAACTGCTAATTTGCCAACCTGATCAGAATGTAACTCATTTTATTCTAATTTAGGCTAATCAAAGAACTATCTACATCAGGTAAGATATTGATTGGTCATAAACCTTTTCACAAAATCCCTCTCAAAAAGAGCTGAACTGTTGCTTTGAATGACTTTACATTTTATTTATCAGTGCAGCCAAGTAGAAAATAAAATGCTTCTTTTTGAAGCTCAGCTAATCCTTGAAACAAAATTTGTAACAATTGAATAAAAATTTAAAAGGCTAACGTCTTCAGTTTGTGGTAAATTTAAAGGGTAGCTGCAACTTTGCTGCTATCACTCATTAAAACAAGGAACTCCACAAACATCCGATCTGCATGTTTGACAACACAGGTATCTACAAACACCCAGCACAGACGCTTTCCTTTCTCCTCTCACTCCCGACCTCGCCGCCCACCTGAAACATCAGATAAGCCACAGACTGATGAGCCAGCCGCCTCCACCAGAGCATGTGGCACTGGGAGACTGCACACCAATTTCAATACATGCTCGCTCAGACAGAAAAAGAGCTCTGTGGAGCAGAAATGCTTCTCTTATTAGCAGAACTCATTCACCTGCACGCCACATTGAGTCCCTGGCAATTTCACAATAAATCATGAGAGATGCTTACAGAGGCCGGGGGAAAGCAAGCCGAAACTCTGCCATGGCCGTGCCCTCGCCTGTCACTTTAGACACTCTGAATCATTTCAGGATCAGTGGCCTCATTTTTTTTATCCTATATGAACTGAAAGGTCAGCTCACAAACCACCTGCCCAATATGTCTCTGGCTCTTCATCTCCCACTTCTTCCTGTGGCTGCTCGTTCTAATCAGAAATGTCACTGGTTGGTGAAATATTTCACTGAAAAAGAACGTTTACAAAGAGGAAAAATTTAACACTAAAGATAGTAGGAAGGTCTAATTTTTTTTTATCCAGCTCTTTTAAAACACAAGTTGAGGAAATGATTAATGTGTGAGTAATAAAAGTTCCCTCCTTGGTGTCAGACGGCCGGGTCTTAAATGTGTTACTTGAAGCCATCCATCAGACTGAAGTGTTGTTTGGTGAATAAAGAATGAGTTGGCCCAAGTCCAGCCTCGTATCCACTTGAGACTCATCAGCCTTAACACCTTTAACCTGCTGGATGGTGGAACAGTTTGTTCTTCCAATACCCAAGCTAGTTTACTGTAAGACCCTGTGATTGAAGCAGCCAACTTTCCCTGCAGTTACCAAATGAAGGCCGTTACAACACAACCCTGTTCGACTGTTGCTTGGTTTGTTGAGACACTTTTTGTGGCAGCCAGCACAGCAGGCAAGCCATTTTGTTAACAGCTCACACTTCCTGTGCAAGCGTGTGGTTCCAGAGTTGCTGACAGTGACACTTGCAGGACCGAGCCCTGCCCTACTTAACAGTCTGTAAGGGAGGAGGGCAGGCCAAGTTGTCAGCAGCGCTAGGTGCTCACTGCTTAGATAAACCTGGAGGATTAGTGGTCCAGTTAAAGTTGGGGCAAAGAGGATTAGCGTCTTCTCTGAGGTGGTGAGAGATTCCATGTGTCCTTCAGCACTGCTGGCCTCGGAGACCAGAGGGAGGGAGACAACAGGAGGCCTTTCTTTTGATTAATGTTAAAATAGACAGAGGAAGAGGAAAAGTGGGATGTAACAATGAAAGTGAAATTGTTGCCAGCTTGTAGTTTTATTAGGAAGCAAAAGGCGTATAGTTCACCGCTCTATAGTTACAGGTTAGGTGTTCAGCAGACCAGTCTTCTGTAAATAATTCTTCATAAACAGGCCATAATATAACTTTGATACTAACAACATAAAGCACCAACACACACACACAAATATCTGATCAAACATTAGTATTTCTTAATCTGTCTTGTCAATTTGTAGCTCAGCAGATACATTTAGACCTCTGCTGCCATCAGCAGGTCGAAAGAGGAACTGCAGCTCAAAATGAAGTTTCATGGAATCAGGATTAGGCAGCACGGTGGCGCAACTGGTAGAGCTGCTGCCTCTCAGCGAGCAGGTCCCTGGTTCAAACCCCGGTCCAGGGGCCTTTCTGGGTGGAGTTTGCATGTTCTCTCCGTGCATGCGTGGGTTTTCTCCGGGTGCTCCGGTTTCCTCCCACAGACCAAAAACATGCATGTTAGGCTGATTGGTAACTCTAAATTGTCCCTAGGTGTGAGTGAGAGAGTGAATGTTTGTTTGTCTCGTTTGTCTCTATGTGGCCCTGTGATGGACTTGCGACCCGTCCAGGGTGTACCCCGCCCCTCGCACAGTGATTGCTGGACATGGGCACCAGCGACCCCCGTGACCCAAAATGGAATAAGCGGGTAAAGAAAATGGATGGATGGATGGAATCAGGATTTAATTATGATTTTAGAAGAAAGTGATTTATTTTCTTTTATGTAAATTTTACGTTTTGGAAAATATAGCACGTTTATTATTCAATAATGTATAGATATAGTTAAAATTTTGTTTAGCGTGTATACAATTCCAAGTTAGTTCCACTACAAAAGTCAGACTGAAAAAAATAGAGCTAGGTCACATTTATTTTTCATTTATACTAATAAAATTCCAAACTGGGTATCTGAGGTAGATTCTTTTTTTTTTTATCCAACATTTACTGTTTGCCAGAATTAAAAAGAGACCACTGAATGGTTTGAGAAAATCACATCAGTTTACTGTTTTGTGCAGCAAGGTACAAATGATATGAAAAAAATGCATAGAAACGTATACAGAGGACTCTGACCTGCAACCTCCAATTGTAGTGCATATACAAAAATGAACTGTATGTCATCTGTGCCACTATTTAATTGATGTGCATAAAAAATGTTGTACAGGGCAAAGAGCCAACTGCGATGAAAACACATAATGACAAGGACCAAGAGTTGATTATGCAAACACCCCAGCTGCAAAGGAACAATAGCTCTGCAAATTCAAAGACAACCCATAACACGGGAGGCTATTGTCCTGCATTTGCATATTTGCTTGACAACTATAACCTGCTCATCATGCCCATCTTGTTCGAAATACTGCCTTTGTATTCATATAATAATGCACGCATCAGAAACTGGCAGAGAGCATTGTTTTTGCTCAAATGACAGCTGTTCTGCCTGAGCTGGCAGCTCGAGCCTGCGCCTTTTCAAACTAGTACATTTAATTAATATGATAGAGAAAAAAAAAATATATATATATATATATGCTGCATAAAATAGATATGTTCAGTTTCTATGCTCCAAAACCTTTCATCCCAAATACAACCATTCTAATCAGTGTGGAGCATAATCTTTATGGCAAACTGATTTCTATTTTCTAAGTCTAAAAATGTTAAATATCTCCCAATAAAATCAAATCTGAAAGATTTGATTTGATTTTTTATTCACCAACAATACAGTAAAAATGTTTAATCTGGCATTTAGAAAAGCACATTAATGTGTTTCCTTTAAAAAATAAAAATAAGAAAAGGAACAATGGATGTAAAAATCCCTGGATAATCGCCCACTGATGTCCGACACGCAGCGGTACAGAACATCCCTGAAACATTGGCTGTTCTTGTCACATTTTTTCATAAGTTATAAAATGCAGCTCCCTTTAAAAAAATGCTTCTGAGTGTTTTGCAGGATTTAACTTGAACTATAATGAATGTGATCAGCAATACTTTCAGTGTCTCTACATGTTCAGTTTTCTGTTTTTTGTGTTTTTTTTCCAAAATAAAAGTGTCGTAATACTCTGTTCACCATAAAGTAAAAGGCACATGGTGTCTAAATTAGCACACTTATTGGCTAATTGTCCCCTGAACTTTTACAGCTGATGACTTTTTGTTGCCATCTGATAAGAGCTGAACTCTGGATCCGTCAGTGTCTGGATGACAAAGGCTCCATCTCCACCACCAGATCATGAGGTCGAGGACTTCTACTCAACTCCATGGCCCGTGGGACCACGGTGGACCAGCGGTCTGTAATGGGTGAAAAGAAAACATCATAGTGTGTGGATGGATGGGTGCTTGATCCACACAGAATTCACTGCAGCAGTACAGAACTAATCTCACCTCTCCTCAGGCCTCTGACGCTTTGCTGCAACCCAAGGATTTGGTTGGTCTCACTTTTGCCTGGATCCTCATTGATTATCGCCAGGTTCTGATTCCAGTGACACCAGTTAACTTCATCCACCCTAAAGAAACAACGCAGCGTTACGACTGGCAGGTGCTGCTAGGAGAGAATCTCCCTGTTACAAACACCTTATTTCTCTCAGCACACACAATAATGCAGGGGAAAAACAACTACCAGTGCATAACGTTGTACTTTTACATTCTAGCTCTCAGATTTATTGCAGTTTGTCACCAGAAGTGTAAATAAAACTATTGTTCTTTTGAACCTAGAGAAGATTTTTGTTGTTGTTTATTGTAGTGCATGACTCATTATAGTTTGATGGAAAAGAATGCTGACCTCAGTACTGTACAATGTAAATGAATGCAATAACTAACTTGTACTCTTGACCTTTTATTAATTATGTGTTAATTATATTGAACAAGGAAGAAGTGGGTAAAGATAATGAATGGATGGATGGATGGATGGATGGACGGATGGATGGATGGACGGACGGACGGACGGACGGACGGACGGACGGACGGATGGACGGATGGATGGATGGATGGATGGATGGATGGATGGATGGATGGATGGA